TCTCACCGGAGGGTAAAATCCCATCTGGCACCTGAAGCTCCCCTCCACGGGAGGAAGTCGGCTCAAGGAGGCCCGAAGACAGGACTGCGGGGTCTTGGTACTACAGGATGCCGCGGCCCCTTCTCCCACGCCGGACCCTGCTGGAGCCCGGATCCGGCGGCAGAGACTGCAGCGCAGGAGCCCCATGGCCCCTAGCCCTGCCACACACCACCCACACACCCCTCCCACCCCATCCCGGCCAGAAGCAGCATCAAACATGGGTGTTAAAGGGAGCCGCAGCCTGACTTCAGGTGCAGGGCGCGAGTGAGCCCGGCCTTGACAGGGCCAGTCTTGCATCTTGTGAGGCGCGAGCGAGCCCTGCCGTCACAGTGATTCCCACGGTTGTCTTAGAAACCAGCCCCTGAGGCTTGGCAAAGCAGGAGCCCTCCGTGGCGGTGCTGGTCTTCAGGGGCTGCCGAGGCTCCTGCCTCACCTCCACGGGTCGACAGGAACGTCTCCGGACGAGACGGGCGCAGGAGTCAGTCGCCTTGCGCGGTCAGGATGGCGACAAAACCGCCCAGGAGGCGGAGTCGGAGACGCGCGTCGTCCCAGCCTCAGGCCTGCCCGGACAGTGTTGGGGTGAGTCTCCCCAAAGTCTTGGCCCGTGATCTCCAGGACAGATTCCCGCCCGCGCGTGTCCGTGGGCACTCCCTCTCCCGAGGAGCCTTCAGGCCAGGGCAGAAGCCTGCAGCGTCAGGAGTTGCCTACGGGGAGATTGTGTTTCTGTGCCTGCTGCTCGCGTGACTGCCTGTGTCCTGTCTCTCCCATTCTCTCTTCTCTCTCTGGCCCTCACTCTCTGCGTCGTTCCCTCTTTCTGCCGTTTGTGTGTGGCGTCGTGTGCCGTGTGGTGTGTGTGTTGGTCGAGCGCGCCCTGTGCCCAGCGACTTCTTGGCATTCGGCCTGGCTCGCTGAGCCTCTTTCTGCCTCCCGTGCCTGGGTCTGAGGCTCGTCAACGTTTCCTTGCCGTTCCACTTTGGAGTCCCTGAGGGCCTCATTGCGTGAGGAGATCGTCTTCCCGCCTTAGTGGAAATACCATTACCTTGCAGGCAGGCCAGTTCCTCTCCCGGGATGAAGACCGCCATCAAGTCCAGCCAGGGACAAAGCCCCCCCAGAGGAGCTCCGTCGCCTGCAGGAGAGGCAGACCCGCCTCAGAGGAGACGCTTGTGCCTTTGCAGGGCTCTGAGCAGTGAAGCCACACCCCGGCGAGAAGCTTGAAGAGGAAGCCGGGAAGGGGAATGCCAGCCTCCCAGTCCCTGGAGCGCTGGCCTCTCTGGACAAGTCGGCCGCCCAGGCAACCCTCCTTAGGCCGCGGCGGTGGCACCGAGCAGTCACGGCGAGGCTCCGGCCTCTGCTCTGCCCTCCCTCTTGCTCAGTCTGCCCTGTTTCTCAGGGAGCCTGAATGCTTCTCCGTCTGGCTGAATGTCTTCCAGCACAGATCCCTTCCCAGTCCGTCAGGAGGCACTCCTCGGAGATCCGTGTGGTGACGGTCTCTCTCTCCAAACCTGCTTCTGCTGGCTTGACAGTTCCATGACCCTGGAGCTCTTGGCTTCCACCCGTGTCTCGGCAGGAAGCTGTCTTGCTCTCCCCTGTTTCACCTCTCACGGCTGGGTGGCTTGCCTAGCATAGTGACAGGCCACACGTGACTGGCCTGTGGTCCTCTTGGGCAGGCTGATTGTGGCATTTCGCCTCTGCACTTCCCGTCTCATTCTTGAGGGGCAGCCTCTCCTCTGCTGCTGGGTGGACTGACTCCCTGAATCTTCTGGCCCCCGCCTGGATCCCGGGCGTTCTTTGATCCGGGCCTTAGGGTCACGGGACAGGTCCATTAGGACCCTCTTCCACCGGGCACGAGCCTGGACACCGCTGTTGCTTCGCCCGTCGCCCCATATGCCCGGGCTGGCACACATTCCGTCGTCTGCTCGAGATGCCAGTGCCACAGCGTGGGCCCCTGGCTCCGCCCAGCGGAACCGCCCCTGTCCTGTTTGCGCGCCTCCTGGAAAGCAGTAGCAGCTTGCACGCGGAACCGCCCCTGTCCCTGTTTGCGCGCCTCCTGGAAAGCAGTAGCAGCTTGCAGGAGCCCCGGGGCTTTTGCAAGCGGGGGCAGGCCGCCGCTCTTTCACAGTGGGAGGGAGGCCGAGGGCTGATGGGTCAGTGAATTTTCAGCTGACGCCACGCCTTAAGGCCCAGGGGACGATTCTGTGCTGCAGCGAGGCCCCGCCTGCCTCAGCCGATGATGGCGAGCCCATCCTCTCTCACCCGGAGGGGTCCAAAATCCCATCTGACGCCCTGAAGCTCCCCCTCCACCGGGGGAAGTCGGCTCAAGGAGGCCCCGAAGACAGGACTGCGGGGGTCTTGGTACTGGGATGCCCGCGGCCCCTTCTCCCACGCCGGACCCTGCTGGAGCCCGGATCCGGCGGCCGGCGGGGCTGCAGCGGGAGCCCCCCGCGGCCCCCCCTCGCCCCTGCCACACCACACACACGCCCCCTCCCACCCCATCCCCGGCCCGGCGCCCCGCGCAGCCGCCGTTGTTTAAAGGGGCCGCAGCCTGACTTCCAGGTGGGGAGCGCGAGTGGGCCCGGCGCGGCAGGGCCAGTGCGCATGCGCGAGGCGCGAGCGGGCCCCTGCCGTCACAGTGATTCCCACGGTTGTCTTAGAAACCAGCCCCTGAGGCTTGGCAAAGCAGGAGCCCTCCGTGGCGGTGCTCGGGTGTCGGGGCTGCGAGGCTCCTGCCTCACCTCTCCACGGGGTCGACAGGAACGTCTCCGGACGGACGGACGCCGGGAGTCAGTCGCAA